ACACAACATCATGGATGCATACCGGGTCCAAGCAAGAACATCTGCTGGACTACATAGTGATGGACCAGCGGATACGAGCCCATGTCTTTGACACCAGGACCTACCGTGGAGCTGATCTGAACTCTGACCATCGACTAGTCATCTGTAAGATGCGCCTGCCATTCTTCCACTCCGGTGGTGGGTGTACACCCAGGACCCCAATCCACTCTAAAGTGACCTGGTCTCAGTTAGCTGATGAAAGTTGCAAGCGAGAATTTCATCATCGCTTGCGGCTGGGGTTGGCATTGCCCCCTACTCCTCCTGATGTCGAGGGTAAATGGGCGAGGTTTAGGACTGTGACTCATGCAGCTGCAATGGCTGCTTTGGGTACACGGTCCAGACCTCCCCAGAGACCCTGGCTGACAGAGGAGGTGTTCAGGATGGTTGAGAAAAAGCGACAGGCCCACTGTCATCGGCTACAGAATCCCACGTCAGAGAATGAGGGTTACCGCAGCCTTCGCTCGGAGGTTCAAAGAGCCGTGAGGCGCTGCAAGGATGGGTGGTGGTTGCGGGTTGCTGAGGAGATGGAGTCTGCCACAGTGACCCGCGATCACAAATCTCTATTTAACTCCATCAAAAAAGTAACCTGCAGCACCACACCTATTACCATCATTAGGGGAAAAACGGTGATCCAATCTCCGACCCCCAGGAACAGGTTTGCAGATTTGCTGAGCATTTCTGTGAGGTCCTGGGGGAGGGAAAATCCCTCAGCCAGGAAAACATCGTGGCACAAAGTGAGGATGACCATGCTGAGGCTGCGGTACCTCAAATATTGGAAGAAGTCACCCCCTGTGAGTGGCTGGCTGAAGTGTCATCTGTTGAGGAAGTACTGATGGCGATCCGGAGTCTGAGACCAGGAAAGACAGCGGGCAGAGATGATCTCCCAAGCGAAATGCTGAGGGAGGGTGGCGTTTGTGCACAGACAATATGACATCATAACAACAGTCTGGACCACTGGACGGGTTCCGCAGGATTGGAAGGATGCCCTGGTGGTCCCCCTCTTTAAGAAGGGGGACCGCACAGACTGTAAGAACTATAGGGGCATCTCACTCCTCAGTGTGCCAGGGAAAGGTCCTGGCAAGGATTATTCAACATCGCCTTGCCAGGCACGCTGAGGAGAGGCTTGCGGAGCCCCAATACGGTTTCAGGAAAGGGCGGTCCTGCAGAGATGCCATATTTTATGTCCGTCTGCTACAGCAGAGGTGTAGGGAATTCCAGCAAGACCTACATCTCTGCTTTATTGACCTGGTCAAGGCCTATGATACCAATCAGTAGGCCTGGGCTCTGGGTTGTTCTTCGTGCTTTTGGAGTACCTGACCCTCTGCTCACGATCATTAAGGACCTTCATGATGGTGAGCGGGCCCGGGTAAAACTACGTGGCCGGGAATCAGAGCCATTCCCTGTACACCTTGGGGTGCGACAGGGATGTCCTCTGGCTCCCACATTATTTAACATCTATTTTGACCACATGGTTCGTGAAACCTTCAATAGCTGTACGAGGGAATCTCCATATGGTACAGATATAATGGGAGGCTGATCGATGCCTGGGTGGGGTCAAGGGATGGCTCCCTATTGCTCAACCACGTTATGTATGCCGATGATTTGGTAATAGCTGCTCATTCAGAGGAGGAGTTGGAGACGCTGCTGCTGAGACTAGAGCGTGTCACTAAGAGATGGGGCCTTACCATCAGCCCCACCAAAACTAAGCACCTGCCTGGGTATTTTGTACCATTGGACACTTCACCCCCACAACTCCCAATCGGTGATGGGACAGTTGTGGAGAGAGTGGAGAGTTTCCCATACCTGGGCAGTGTGCTTATGACCGGCTCCAGTTTAACAGCAGAGGCCTCACTCCGAATCAGTCGAGCGGCAATATATTTTCATCGGTTGCGTAACGCTGTGTGGAAGCTACCTGGTCTGTCGCTCCGCACTAAGCTTCAGGTCTTCTAGGCCACGGTCATTCCCTCCCTTCTCTACGCTTGCGAAACGTGGACCCCCCCTAATGGAACATCTTCGCTGGTTAGAAACATTTAGGCTAGCCTGCCTACGATCCATCCTGGGTTTAACCAGGCTGGATTGTGTGAGGACCTCACAAATCTTTGAAAGATTTGGGCAAGGTCCCATCGGTGAGCTCCTCCGGCAGGCAAGGCTGCATTGGCTGGGTCATGTAGCCCGCATGCCTAGCCACCGCATGCCGAAACAGCTTTTGTTCGGCCGGATCGAGGGGGCTAAACGGGCGCGGCACGGGCTAGAGAAGAGATGGAGTGATGTGGTACAGGAGGACGTGGAGCTGAGTGGACTTGCCGATGACTGGTACCAGCGGGGTCAAGATCAGCCTCTGTGGAGGAGGCTCGTGAAGGATGCTACTGGGCAGTTGGAGGTAGTCGCCCTCCAACAACAACGGAGGGCGGAGGAGCGACGCTCACAACAACGAGCGGAGCGCCGGGTGGCTAAAGCACAGCAGGCTGGCACAGTAGGGGGCACAGGTGGTGCATCAGCCAGTCATCTCAGTCATCTTAGTCAGTCGACCCATGGCACTTGGGTCTGCCCCGTGACCTCCTGCCCGCGGGCGTTCGACACTTCACGTGGCCTCAAGGTGCACATGGCCTGGCACAAGCGTCGTGGTGACGTCACCGCCACTTAGTGGCGAATGGCGGTTGTTGTTGTTGTTGGTGAATACGCTTTGTTTTTTTTCGGTAAAGTCACGTAGGTAAAATAAAATAAAACAACTAAATTAAATCACGATGTTTCGCAGGCAACACAAGCTTCCGTCTTCAGGTGGAATAGTCACAGCAGAATATCTGTGTCAAGTGGACAATTCTAAACAAACACAAGATCCAGGTCCGGTTCAATACAGTACACAAAATCCGTGATCTGATCCCACCCGTAAAGGATGTCATTTCTGACTTACAGTACCCCGGTGTTTACAAATTGAGTTGTACCTGCGGTGACTGCTATATCGGGGAGACGAAACGACATATTTCTGACCGAATCCGCGAGCACAAATCAGATTTGAAACACGGCAGAACGAATTCTTCGGCCGTGGCTGATCATTGTTTCAACACAGCGGGTTCTCATGACATTGTTTTCTCTGATACCAAAGTTCTCTGCAAAACTCCCGATTATTACCAAAGATTTGTCCATGAAGCCATCCAGATATACAAACACAGACACAACTTCAACCGAGAGGATGGTTTCAAATTAAGCAACCATTGGAAAGATGTTATAAATCAAGTCAAACGTTAGCTGCCTTGTAACTGTACAGCCATTTCCATTTCTCAGTGGGTTGTATGCCAAACTTTAGCTGCCTTATAATTGTACAGCCATTTCCATTGCTTCCTAACAAAAAATGGGGCTGTACTCGCTTTTGTGCAGCGCGCCATCGCTCCCCCCAAACACCCCCTGCAGCATAACAAAAGGAGGTTTTACCCGCTTTTCGCGCAGTGCACCACCCCTCCCCCCGAACCCCCTGCAGTTTAACACAAGGCGGCTTAACTCAGCCCTCCCCCCCACCCACGTCCCTTCTTGGCTCCTCCCCCCCGTTAACCTGTATATATAATCCCGGCTGTCTCAGAGCTGTGCACTTGACACAGATATTCTGCTGTGACTGTTCCACCTGAAGATGGAAGCTTGTGTTGCCTCCGAAACGTCGTGATTTAATTTAGTTGTTTTCTTTTATTTTATTTTACCTACGTGACTAGAATGTGTGGTGAATGTGTGTGTGGTGCAGTGTGTGGTGAATGTGTGTGTGGTGAATGTGTGTGTGGTGAATGTGTGTGTGTGGTGCAGTGTGTGGTGAATGTGTGTGTGTGTGGTGCAGTGTGTGGTGAATGTGTGTGTGGTGAATGTGTGTGTGGTGAATGTGTGTGTGGTGATTGTGTGTGTGCAGTGTGTGGTGAATGTGTGTGTGGTGCAGTGTGTGGTGAATGTGTGTGTGGTGCATGTGTGTGTGGTGCAGTGTGTGGTGAATGTGTGTGTGGTGCAGTGTGTGGTGAATGTGTGTGTGGTGCAGTGTGTAGTGAATGTGTGTGTGGTGAATGTGTGTGTGTTGCAGTGTGTGGTGAATGTGTGTAGTGCAGTGTGTGGTGAATGTGTATGTGTAGTGCAGTGTGTAGTGAATGTGTGTGTGGTGAATGTGTGTGTGGTGAATGTGTGTGTGTGGTGCAGTGTGTGGTGAATGTGTGTAGTGCAGCGTGTGATGAATGTGTGTGTGTAGTGCAGTGTGTGGTGAATGTGTGTGTGTAGTGCAGTGTGTGGTGAATGTGTGTGTGGTGAATGTGTGTGTGGTGAATGTGTGTGTGTAGTGCAGTGTGTGGTGAATGTGTGTGTGGTGAATGTGTGTGTGGTGAATGTGTGTGTGGTGAATGTGTGTGTGGTGATTGTGTGTGTGCAGTGTGTGGTGAATGTGTGTGTGGTGCAGTGTGTGGTGAATGTGTGTGTGGTGCATGTGTGTGTGGTGCAGTGTGTGGTGAATGTGTGTGTGGTGCAGTGTGTGGTGAATGTGTGTGTGGTGCAGTGTGTAGTGAATGTGTGTGTGGTGAATGTGTGTGTGTTGCAGTGTGTGGTGAATGTGTGTAGTGCAGTGTGTGGTGAATGTGTATGTGTAGTGCAGTGTGTAGTGAATGTGTGTGTGGTGAATGTGTGTGTGGTGAATGTGTGTGTGTGGTGCAGTGTGTGGTGAATGTGTGTAGTGCAGCGTGTGATGAATGTGTGTGTGTAGTGCAGTGTGTGGTGAATGTGTGTGTGTAGTGCAGTGTGTGGTGAATGTGTGTGTGGTGAATGTGTGTGTGGTGAATGTGTGTGTGTAGTGCAGTGTGTGGTGAATGTGTGTGTGGTGAATGTGTGTGTGGTGAATGTGTGTGTGGTGAATGTGTGTGTTGTGAATGTGTGTGTGGTGAATGTGTGTGTGGTGAATGTGTGTGTGGTGAATGTGTGTGTGTGGCAGTGTGAGTAGGACGCACCGTTGAGATCCCAGCAGTGTGTGGCAGGGTTACCGTGACGCACGTCCTGCCTGCGCGCCCGCCTGCCCATTCACACGCACGCACGTGGTCAGTCACGAGATCATCAGTTACAGGAGTATGAACAACGCACGTGTGTGTGTGTCTTTGTGTGTCGTGGGAGACAAAAACCCGAGTTCGATTCCCGCTCACGGCCAACAGCCAGTGACGATTGTCTGAACCAGTCCTGGGCCTCCCCTAGGTCGGCTCAGCCTCAAATGAGTACCTGGTGCGGTGTGTAAACATCGCCACTGGGAAGAAAGACAATGGTGAGCCTGCACGTGGTGCTGACCACCCACTCCCTCGTGTGCCGTACCGGCCTTCATAGGTGCTCACTAACAGCACTTGTCCCAAATGTCTGTGAAGGCTATATGGGGGACTTTTGTCTTTGGTGGTGGTGGTGGGTAGCAAAAGGCACTAAGATCCTAGTGAAGTGGGCTCAATTCCCAGCTGTACATGACAATATTGGCATTGATATACAGAGAGGGGAAAAAAGTATTTGATCCCCTGCTGATTTTGTACGTTTGCCAACTGACAAAGGAATGATCAGTCTATAATTTTAATGGTAGGTTTATTTGAACAGTGAGAGAATAACAACAAAAAAATCCAGAAAAACGCATGTCAAAATTGTTATGAATAGATTTGCATTTTAATGAGGGAAATAAGTATTTGACCCCTCTGCAAAACATGACTTAGTACTTGGTGCAAAACCCTTGTTGGCAATCACAGAGGTCAGACGTTTCTTGTAGTTGGCCACCAGGTTGGCACACATCTCAGGAGAGATTTTGTCCCACTCCTCTTTGCAGACCTTCTCCAAGTCATTAAGGTTTCGAGGCTGACGTTTGGCAACTCGAACCTTCAGCTCCCTCCACAGATTTTCTAAGGGATTAAGGTCTGGAGACTGGCTAGGCCACTCCAGGACCTTAATGTGCTTCTTCTTGAGCCACTCCTTTGTTGCCTTGGCTGTGTGTTTTGGGTCATTGTCATGCTGGAATACCCATCCACGACCCATTTTCAATGCCCTGGCTGAGGGAAGGAGGTTCTCACCCAAGATTTGACGGTACATGGCCCCGTCCATCGTCCCTTTGATGCGGTGAAGTTGTCCTGTCCCCTAAGCAGAAAAACACCCCCAAAGCATAATGTTTCCACCTCCATGTTTGACGGTGGGGATGGTGTTCTTGGGGTCATAGGCAGCATTCCTCCTCCACCAAACACGGCGAATTGAGTTGATGCCAAAGAGCTCCATTTTGGTCTCATCTGACCACAACACTTTCACCCAGTTGTACTCTGAATCATTCAGATGTTCATTGGAAAACTTCAGACGGGCATGTATATGTGCTTTCTTGAGCAGGGGGACCTTGCGGGCGCTGCAGGATTTCAGTCCTTCACGGCGTAGTGTGTTACCAATTGTTTTCTGGGTGACTCTGGTCCCAGCTGCCTTGAGATCATTGACAAGATCCTCCCGTGTAGTTCTGGGCTGATTCCTCACCGTTCTCATGATCATTGCAACTCCACGAGGTGAGATCTTGCATGGAGCCCCAGGATGAGGGAGATTGACAGTTCTTTTGTGTTTCTTCCATTTGCAAATAATTGCACCAACTGTTGTCACCTTCTCACCAAGCTGCTTGGCAATGGTCTTGTAGCCCATTCCAGCCTTGTGTAGGTCTACAATCTTGTCCCTGACATCCTTGGAGAGCTCTTTGGTCTTGGCCATGGTGGAGAGATTGGAATCTGATTGATTGATTGCTTCTGTGGACAGGTGTCTTTTATATAGGTAACAAGCTGAGATTAGGAGCACTCACTCCCTTTAAGAGTGTGCTCCTAATCTCAGCTCGTTCCCTGTATAAAAGACACCTGGGAGCCAGAAATCTTTCTGATTGAGAGGGGGTCAAATACTTATTTTCCTCATTAAAATGCAAATCAATTTATAACATTTTTGACATGCGTTTTTCTGGATTTTGTTGTTGTTATTCTGTCTCTCACTGTTCAAATAAACCTACCATTAAAGTTATAGACTGATCATTTCTTTGTCAGTGGGCAAATGTATAAAATCAGCAGGGAATCAAATACTTTTTTCCCTCACTGTATGGGTCTTCCCGCAAGTTCACGCAGCCTGAAATAAGAACCTGGTGTGGTGTGTCCAGTTTGGCACTGCAGATATGGAAAACACTATTTCTGTACTTGAAGAGAAAAACACACAAAAACAATATTAATACATGGGAGCACTGGAAAAAACGTGTCCGTTGAAGTTGCGTTTAATGACATGTGCTCTGCTAGAATCTGCTCAAAGCATCATAGTCATGTGCTGGTGCCTGTTGAGCTGGTGAATTTCAGGGCACTGGACTTGGTGAAGGCTGTTTTAGTCTAGGTTTATTTTGTTTCCCTTTGTAAAGTGCAAAACGGCTTTACCTAGACTGTGATCGTGTTTGGTCTGATCAACTCTGGCCTGTCCTGAGAAAATCTGATCCAGTTTAGTCTGGTCCTATCTCGTCGGTACCGTTCTGGTCTGGGCTCATGTGGTCTCAGCTGATTTTGCCTCATTGTTGATACAATGTAGGCTGTTTTGGGCTGAGCTAGTCCGATCTAGCCTGCTCTGGTTTGATCTGCTTTTCTCTGGTTTTATCCAGCCTGCTCTGGTTTGATCTGCTTTTCTCTGGTCTGATCCTCCGGTTAGTCCTGCGCCACCCGTGGCTGGACTTACCGCTTAGCGGTGGGAAAGTATCGCGTGCAGGCGGTGCCGTCCCACGCGCAGTAGGGGTCGCGTGCCAGGCAGCACTCGGAGCAAGCGCGCCCGTAGCTGGAGCAGCGATGCAGGGACAGCTGCGCCACGCCGGTGCGGGAAGCCACGTACAGCTGCTGCTGCGCTCGGGACACCACAGAACGCTCGGTTAACCGCTCGACGCATCGTACACGCAGTAGCGGTGGCGGTTCGTGGTTCCAGGTTAAAGAGGGCGACAAAGTCCACCTCGGGGTGCTTCCGGTCTTGTGTGATGATGCGTGCAGGTGGATTCGCTAAGCAACTGGATTGAGGTGGCAGCGGCTTCGTCATCAGCGTTTTCTCACACAGAGACCCATAGACTCACATAGCGACCCACATACTCACACAGAGACCCATAGACTCGCATAGAGACCCACATACTCACACAGAGACCCATAGACTCGCATAGAGACCCACATACTCACACAGAGACCCACATACTCGCATAGCGACCCATGTACTCGCACAGAGACCCACAGACTCTCGTAGAGATCCATAGACTCGCATAGAGACTCATAGACTCGCGTAGACACGTATATGGACCCACTGAGAAACAAGAATGTGATGGCAGTGGATTTGTCATGGTCGTTTTCTCACGTAGTGACCCATAGACTCACACAGGGTTCCCACAGACTAACACCACAGTAGTGTAGCGCCCTTGCCCGCTAGCCGCACGAGATTGTTACAGAAGAGCCCACCGGTCGCCCCGGTTAATACCGCGGGTACATTGACCATGCGATAACCGTGCAATAACCGTGCAATAATCATACAATAACCATACAATAACCATACATTGACCATGCAATACGCGGTGCCGCCGCCTGCATCACAGCAGGCGCTTGAGATCCCGCGACGTCATTCGGCCGCGTGGGTCAGCGTCATTGGGCCACAGCTGAAAATGATTTGCAGATCACCTTGATTGGTGAACACAACGCACGGTAACCAACATTGCCCCCCTTCGTCCGTGAAACACGGCGCCTCCGTTATAGCCTTGCGCTCCACGAATGGTGAGAATGGGAAATGTGCTCATTATTTGATTTGATCGACTTTTCCAACCCTTACATTCACGGAGCTTTGAGATCCACTTTTAACGGGTGCCTTATACATCTAAATTAGTATTTATTTAGTAGAGCGCTGAATGTTCAATGTAATGGCCAAATCCTTGCTGCATCTCGTGACCGTCACGGCTATTGCGAATAAAAATAAGTTGATTACCGTGTTCCGGTTAAGGGATACAGAATAAATATTTTATTCTGTGCTAAAATGTTAGCTTTTAGGGCTGAAAGCGAAATTAAAAATAAATATGGGACTTGCTTTTCCTTACTGCCTCTTAGGCATGAATGTGTCCGTTTTGAAAACGTAGCCAAATGTTGAATTTTCACAGCATGAGATGTCTCAAGTGATGACAGATATTATTTGAGACAATGCGATGCTCTTTCGACAGGGCTTCTTGTGAAAGCCACCGAATAACAACTATTCACATCCTTATTCTTAGTTTTTTCGGTAAAGTCACGTTGAAGAGAAACAACAAAATAACAAAATATATATAAAACAATAAAAAATTCTCACGACGTTTCGACCATAACTCAAACGGTCATCATCAGGTGTGTCGGTTTGAAACGTCGTGAGAATTTTTTATTGTTTTATATATATTTTGTTATTTTGTTGTTTCTCTTCAACGTGACTTTACCGAAAAAACTAAGAATATGAATTACTGCAGTCACGAAAGCTTTAAATCAAAATTTATTCACATCCTGTTAACATTATCTTCATTTTAACGTTACTGGAGACATCTACAGCCCCAGTCGTGCTTCGGAAAATAACTCGGTTACAATACTCAATACTCTGCAATGTCTCACGAAAAAAATTACAAATATACATTAAGGCGTTTATCATAATTGTCGCCTATAATTTTTTTTTAATGAGCTGCCCCCTTGCTTCTAAACGACAGATACGTCCAAGCAGTGCAGCCAAAAAAAAGAAACAGTTTTTCGTCAAGAGTAAAGGCACGCAACAAATGTAGGTGGTTTAGCTAATCAAGAAGCCAACTAACCATTACGAATACAGGTCCAGCAACACCGGCGTTACGTGCCTGCTACATGCCACGCGCGAGAGCTCAGCCGCGGTCGATTTTCTCCGCTTTCAGACGACAAAACGAGCCCTGGCTTCCATTAAACAAATAATTGACACGCGGGGATTTGGTACGAGACCAGGGTGACTGTTTGCTACTGTATAGTCACGTGAGACCAGGGTGCCTGTTTGCTACTGTATAGTCACGTGAGACCAGGGTGACTGTTCGCTACTGTCTAGTCACGTGAGACCAGGGTGACTGTTTGCTACTGTCTAGTCACGTGAGACCAGGGTGACTGTTCGCTACTGTCTAGTCACGTGAGACCAGGGTGACTGTTTGCTACTGTCTAGTCACGTGAGACCAGGGTGACTGTTTGCTACTGTATAGTCACGTGAGACCAGGGTGACTGTTTGCTACTGTCTAGTGACATGAGCCAAGGTGACTGTTTGCTACTGTCTAGTCACGTGAGACCAGGGTGACTGTTTGCTACTGTCTAGTCACGTGAGACCAGGGTGACTGTTCGCTACTGCCTAGTCACGTGAGACCAGGGAGACTGTTCGCTACTGTCTAGTCACGTGAGACCAGGGAGACTGTTCGCTACTGTCTAGTGACATGAGACTAAGGTGACTGTTTGCTACTGCCTAGTCACGTGAGACCAGGGTGACTGTTTGCTACTGTCTAGTCACGTGAGACCAGGGTGACTGTTTGCTACTGTCTAGTGACATGAGACCAGGGTGACTGTTTGCTACTGTCTAGTGACATGAGCCAAGGTGACTGTTTGCTACTGTCTAGTCACGTGAGACCAGGGTGACTGTTTGCTACTGTCTAGTCACGTGAGACCAGGGTGACTGTTCGCTACTGCCTAGTCACGTGAGACCAGGGTGACTGTTTGCTACTGTCTAGTCACGTGAGACCAGGGTGACTGTTCGCTACTGCCTAGTCACGTGAGACCAGGGTGACTGTTTGCTACTGTCTAGTCACGTGAGACCAGGGAGACTGTTCGCTACTGCCTAGTCACGTGAGACCAGGGTGACTGTTCGCTACTGTCTAGTCACGTGACACCAGGGTGACTGTTTGCTACTGTCTAGTCACGTGAGACCAGGGTGACTGTTTGCTACTGTCTAGTCACGTGAGACCAGGGAGACTGTTTGCTACTGTCTAGTCACGTGAGACCAGGGAGACTGTTCGCTACTGCCTAGTCACGTGAGACCAGGGAGACTGTTCGCTACTGTCTAGTCACGTGAGACCAGGGTGACTGTTTGCTACTGTCTAGTCACGTGAGACCAGGGAGACTGTTCGCTACTGCCTAGTCACGTGAGACCAGGGAGACTGTTCGCTACTGTCTAGTCACGTGAGACCAGGGAGACTGTTCGCTACCATCTAGTGACATGAGACCAAGGTGACTGTTTGCTACTGTCTAGTCACGTGAGACCAGGGTGACTGTTTGCTACTGTCTAGTCACGTGACACCAGGGTGACTGTTCGCCACTGTCTAGTCACGTGACACCAGGGTGACTGTTCGCCACTGTCTAGTCACGTGACACCAGGGTGACTGTTTGCTACTGTCTAGTCACGTGAGACCAGGGTGACTGTTCGCTACTGTCTAGTCACGTGACACCAGGGTGACTGTTCGCCACTGTCTAGTCACGTGACACCAGGGTGACTGTTCGCCACTGTCTAGTCACGTGAGACCAGGGTGACTGTTCGCCACTGTCTAGTCACGTGAGACCAGGGTGACTGTTCGCCACTGTCTAGTCACGTGACACCAGGGTGACTGTTCGCCACTGTCTAGTCACGTGACACCAGGGTGACTGTTCGCCACTGTCTAGTGATGCTGTGGTGGTGGCGCTTGTGGAACTCACCCGCTTCGGCGATATTTTCAGAGACAAGATCGGAGTTGGCTCCTGCAATATGTATGCACAACAAGAGGGGTTATGGAATAACAACAAAAACAAAAAAGCCACACATCGTTATACTGTACTAAAGCTGTGTTCGTGACTGTTTTGCCCTAATTATTTGTTTTCATGTCTTGTCGGCATGCTGTCACGGGCGGTGGCTACTTCTTCCAAGTGTTGAGTCTCTGCAAACCCTTGCAGGATCAGCTACCTCCCCCCTCTCCCGATGATGTTGTTTGGGCTGAGAGGTTCTCGGTCCCAGAAGACCTGACCCTGGGGGGTTGGAAACCAGATCCCCATTCAAAGGCTGATTTTAGATTTGTGGCCTGCAGAGGCACTTTCTATCTCCTCATCAGCACGTGACCACCACTCATCAAACGCTTGGGTGTTACCAGAGAGGCCAGGATGGTACCGATCCAGCTCCTGACAGTGGAATGGCAGCCTATCCTCTCCAGCGATCATTTGCATATCCTACGTGGACAACTCTACGGCAATCGCCTCGTGTGTCCGCGTTGAGGTCGAGGGAGGGTCGGTCAGTCTTCTTCCTTTACCAAAACGGCCTTGGTCAGAGGAGGATGGCTCCCCCATGGGACCTCCAGCACTTGATTGTTTTAGTTTACGTTCTCGTGATTTTCTGCTTTGTGACTTTAAAGTAAAGGGGTTATCAGTCCTACGACCGGACCAGAAGGCCCCATCTGCCACTGCAAGGAATGTGAGCGTGCCAGAAGCGTAATCAGCCGGTAAACGTCAGAATCCCCCCCCCCCCCCCCACAATATTCCCATAATGCAACGTGCTAGCAACATTTAATACTTTTTCTTTTAATAAATCGTGTCTTTAATAATACATTTTGATTATTGAAGAGTTTTATCTCATGAAATAACTACAAATAGGAAACGATTCACGTGCCAATGATTTTATTTTAGCAAGAAACATATATATGTTTAAATCTAACTATTATCAGGCGCCATAGTGTAAAGTGACGTCTCCAACTCTTCCTACCTAATCTGTCTCAGCGGTCTCTGTGAAGAAAGGCTATTAGCCAAAACGTCCCCTATTACAGGCATATCCCGGTTTAGGCCCGGGATGCATTCCCGGAAACCCAAATGTAAATGGAAAGTACTGAAATCGAAGCGAAGAGAAGGGATTGCGGATTGTAATGTGGTATCGGACCTACACAGAGCAGCATGCTCCGTAACCCATCGCGCATCTACACTGTACAACCATCGGCGTGAAAAGTAAGTGTACCTTGTCTATTCTACGATTATTATTTGTTGTTTTTCGTATAAAAAGAGTGTGCAGTGTTATGAATGAAGTCGCCATAAATGCGGTAAGTGGGTCCAAAAAATATTAATATAGTACAGGAACTCCTCAAGCAACTGGACATATGGACAGGTTTGTTCGCATCTCTGAAAGTTCGTAAGTCGAATGTTCGTAAGTAAAAGAGTCCCTGCACTGAATGTTCGACATATCACTTAAGGAATGTGGGTCTTAATGCTAACGTTCGTAACACTCGAGTACGTTATGACGAGTTATACTTTTTTTTTCCCTTTTTTGGTGGCCAGGATGTTACTGATGAACATCTTGAGTTGGTTTGTTGCTTTTGTTTCCCCCCCCCAATGGCACTGCTCACAGCACACCACTGAGGCACCGTCCGGTAACGCGACAAGGTGGGAGTCTTTGGGTGTGCCTGACTCTTACAACAAATGAAGATGCGCAGGATGATCTGTAATAATTTTCAATTTTTATTTTTCATTTTTTTATTATTTGTATTTTTTGTTTTCTATCCACGTGACTTCACCGAAAGAACCAGGAATAATCTTTGGTTCTTTCGGTAAAGTCACGTAGGTATAAAATAAAATAAACCGCGACGTTTCGGGCGCAACACAAGCGTCCATCATCAGGTGCGAAAGCCAAGAATTTGAACCGAGAATATAAATTCCTGCGGTCACGAAAGTTTGAATTCAAAATTTATAATGGCCCCGTTTGAATGCTGTAAGCAAATCTGGCTGGCTTTTGTTGGGCAGAGTGTATTAAACGATTGAGATACAGATTTAAGGGATAGAATGTATGTATTAAGATTGTCGAGGGCATAGAAAGATTATTGGAAAAAATAAGAATAGGTTTTACCCTACATCATTAGACCTCCTTTGCCAGTACCAAAATGTAATAATAATAAGTGTTTCCCCCTTTTTCTGGCAACAAAACTGAAACATTTTTACAAGGATTCATGTCTGCATTAACCACAATACCTGCAGTCAAAATGCAAACAAAAAAACATACTATGATAATATATGCATTGTCCTTGAAACTGATTGGTCCACACCAAGGGACGGCTTTATGTGCATTTTGACTGCAGGTATTGTGGTTAATGCAGACATGAATCCTTGTAAAAAGGTTTCAGTTTTGTTGCCAGAAAAAAGGGGAAAACCCCTATTATTATTAGGTTTTACCCTTTCTAGCAATACTACAGGTGTTAAGATATTCAAACACCAAGTAGAAACCTTTTTGCAAGGAATTGAGTCTGCATTAACTACACGTACATGTGGTGGTAATGCAAACAAACACGCTCTGATAATTATATATGCATTGCCTTTGAAACTGATTTGCCCATAGAAATATAATTTCGGTACCTTATTTTAGTGGAGTATCTATAAACGGATCACCCTCCAGACTCACACGTATGAGTTCACAATGTCACACAGGCTACACACCTTGAAGACTCGCAGCTCTTCCAGAATGACCTCCTCCGCCTCCCAGCTGCTCTTACTGATGCTGATCGCCTTGAGCACCGTGCCAGCATCTTAATCCAGGAAAGACGAAGACAAAGATCCCCCGTATAACTTTAACAGACCGTAGGGGCAAGTGCTGTTAGCGAGCACCGATTAAGGCCAGCATGGCGCACGAGGGGGTGGGTGACCAGCAGCATGCCCGGCCACCTTTGTCTCTCCAGTGGCGATGTTAACGCACCACACCAGATACTCATTTGAGGCTGAGTCGACCTAGAGGAGGCCCATGACCAGTACAGATAATCATCAATGGTGTTGGCCGTGAGCGTGAATTGAACCCGGGTGGCCAGGTTCGTAGCGCAGCGCGCTAACCGCTACACGACCGCTCCCATACACAGAGACACGTGCACACACAGGAAATATATTAACACATTTAAAATGCGCACTTTATTTTCCATTCTTCTGCCCTATGGCAATATGAAGTTATAAACTTTATACGTGTAGATATGGTCCGTGAATGGGCAGTGCAGGGGGCAGTGCTGGATCCATAGTCTGGCTATGCTTACTACAGTGACATTTGTTGTATAAATACGAACATACGCGCACAAAGCTACAATGTGCAAATGCAAGAGCTGAGTGAGAGAGACCCTTCCTTAACAGCCGCCTCTCTCATTCCCCCCACCCCCTTTGACCTTCTCTCTCTGTTCTAATAATCGCCACCCTCGCCCGCCCTACTTCCCCGTGTTGTATACAACCGGACACGCTGTCGCCCTCCATCGCTGCGCATCGCAGCTCGATGACTCAGCGTCTCCGTGGGGGTCACGGCGGTTCGGGACGTCGCGCCGCTGCTCAGTCTACCCAACTCGCCACCGTGGGCGCCGCGGTGGCTTTGAGATGTTAGCTACCTCGCCTCGTATACAGGAGGTCGTGGGTTTGATCCCGACCCTGACGCTTGCTGTTGTATATTTGGAGTTTGCGTGTCTCTCTCTCATCATCATCACGGTGGCTTTGAGATGTTAACTACCTCGCCTCATATACAGGAGGTCGTGAGTTCAATCCCGACCCTGACGCTTGCTGTTGAATATTTGGAGTTTGCGTGTCTCTCTCTCATCATCATCACGGTGGCTTTGAGATGTTAACTACCTCGCCTGGTATACAGGAGGTCATGAGTTCGATCACGACCCTGACGCCTGCTGCTGTATATTTGGAGTTTGCGTGTCTCTCTCTCTCTGTCATCATCACGGTGGCTAGGAGATGTTAACTACCTCGCCTCGTATACAGGAGGTCATGGGTTCGATCCCGACCCTGACGATGCCTGGATATTTGGAGTTTGCGGGTCTCTCTTTACCAGTGGACGTGTGGATTTTTCTCCGGGTCCTCCGGGTTTTCCCCCCTCCATGAATTGACATGTGGTTACAGTGTTTGGCTGCTATAAATTCCCACGTGATAAGCCACTTCCTAGAGCTATCACTTGAGGCCAGGTCTCTGTGAGGCTTTGTGGCCAAAGCCTCAGAGAGTCTTAAGACTTTTTTCAAGAGGGTCCTGCCAAGTCTCTGCAGTAAGGGCGACGTTGCAATGTATAATGTTGCAGACATTTCAAAACACTACCATTTAAATACACAAACCATTGATTATACTGTACTGTCCTGATTATTAGTTTCTGTTTATGTCCAATTGTAAATTGCTTTAACTGACAAAATACCTCACCTAATGCCAGTCATAAAATAATAACTCTTTCTATATTTTTGAAATAATGTAAATGTCACTGTGACGAGAGAGGTGACCTTCATCCAGAGCAAGTGGATGCACCATGGCTGCTGCTGATGATGTTGAACTCATGAGAAATTCGTCATCATCATCATCATCATCACGATCCATGGGCAGATAACCCGTAGGTGTCCACTGCACATTTCGTCATTTGTTTAAACATTCCTCTCCGTCTCGTGCCAATATGCTCAAGTTCATGTCGTGGCCACGTCTTTCTGGCACCAGCCTCTTACGTCCGTCGTCAAGCCATTCTCTGTTCGGCCTTTGTCCGACACGACAAAAATTCGTATCCAACAAAAATGAACGCGGCCGACTCCGGCATTGCGCCCGAGCCAACTGCGACTTAAACGCCGACGTGACCTCACTTGACCGCGCTGGAATCGGTGCCAAGTTCTGGCGCGCTGTCTGCATTGGCAGCCAGAAACCACCGTCCCCTGCCGCGCGGCACGGAGGCAAAATCAACACGCGTCTCAGCGTGGTGGGGGGGCGGTGGGGCTGGGAGGTGGGGGGGGGGGGCAGCAGAGGAGACACCGGGGCCGCAGACGGCACGGAGGGGCCCAGCGGAGAGAGCAACTCATTCATAGCTCCTCAACAGAACCAGTGTGGGCCCGAAGGAGGGAGGGGGGGGGAGGGGGGGTCTGCCCAGTGCAATGTGAACGCAGCGATCAAGATCGCGGATGCTTGGCCCGCCAACCCATTCATGAGATCGCTAGGCTGCGTTTGAGGGACATGCTCCCAATTTTTCAGATCAATCCAACGTGAGGCTGAGATAGGAAATTTCGGACGACCCGAATTGCTTTTGTGCACGGGAGCAAAACCCACGACCAGCTGTGTACCAGGCGAGGCAGTCAACATCTCCGGGCCACCGACACCGGCTGTCGCGGCGACTTCTCCCCCGCGTACCCGTGCCGAGGAAGAAGACGCTGTAGGGGCCGTCGTCGGCCTCCACGCGGTCCACGGCGATGGCGGTGACGCGGGCGGCCCCGGCGAGCGTGAAGGCCGGGCGGCCGCGCGAGGGCCGCACCGTGTCGTGCAGGAGGGGGTGGGAGCGGGCGAACGCCAGCATCTCGTCGGGGAATTCGCGCGTCGAGCGCAGCTGTGGCTCGTACGTGCGGCTCGGGCACTGGTGGAGTAGGGGCGGCGCGGGCGGAAGAGTGAAAACAGTTTTTATTGTGAACTGCTACATTTTTTTTAAAATATTAAGTACCGGCTTTAATTTGTGTGTGCGGATGCGGCCATGGTGTAAGTGGCCAGCAGTGCACATTGGACTTAAAGCTATTAACTGTTTTTGTTTTACCAGGTGAGGTCCGCTGAGCTATACAGCTCTATTGCAGAAGGGACCTGGCCGCAAATGATAGCTCAACGAAGTGGCCTATCATCACGTGGAAATTGACAGCAGAAGCCAAATACTCTAAACGTGTGATGTTGATTAATTATATTATCAATGTGGAGGGAAAAACCGGAGGACCCGGGGAAAAATCCACGCAAACACGGGGAGAGAGAGATGCAAACTCCATGTTTACAGCATGCGTCAGGGTCGGGATCGAACCCAAGGCCTCCTGTATACCAGGCGAGGTAGCCAACATCTCGCTGCCACGGTGACTTGCAACGCAGAGGTCGCCGATTCGGTTTGACCCGATCTTCCGGCGCGGCAGCGGCAGTAGAAACGACGGTGCAAGTTTCACCCCCAGCTGCCCCCGTGTTCACCCAGCAGCATATTTAGGATAGTCGCATCTAGTCGATCGCCATGTCAAGTGTGGTGGGGGAAAGGTGCGGGTGCTCCAGGCCCCTTCTAAAGTTTTCTGGGCACGCGGGGAGCGAAACGTCAGACGTGGTGCTGAGCAACAACACGCTGTGCAACCTGAACATGCAGCGGAGAGTGACTATCGTGACGAGATATAAACAAAAACCTGGGCACTTTGTGTTGCCATTGTGCACTCCAAACCAAACCCATGCTCGCTGACAAATATTTCATCCACACACCAACACGCAGATTACGTTAAGCACGATTACATTACCTCGTGGCAGCTTTTGGCTGACCATCGAACAAAGACGGTCACTGCATCGCGCGCTTTCAGACGCGCTTCTGCGGCCGTCTGGAACGCTCTTCCGTCCAATATTAGGAAGCCACTGGAGCTATCCACTTTTAAATGTAGATTTAAAACTAATTTCTTTCGAACGGCTTTTTGTGCTTAGTTTGATGTCCTTCCCCCACACCTCCGATTAGCACAATTGGCTACGTACGGTGCGAAAGAAGTAAAAACAAACATACACACATGAACTTGCTAAATCGGTCGTGATACATGCTTGCGGTGCTCACCATGCCAGGCCTCGGGTAAGGAATCTTGCCCTGGTATTTAAGCCACTGGTGGTCTGCGCCCTCCCGATGAGAGAAGGGCCCGTTGAATACGGCGCGTATGTCAGGCATGGTGTATTCGCACACCGCTGATCCGCGGAAGACAGAGCTGTATGTAAACCACACACACACACAAACACACAGACAATCTCTTTCATCCTGAAACGACGAATCATGCCGGCATCAGAAAGGCTGGATTTTGTTGTTCAAATGTTCTGGATCATGCTCGGCTCACGATAAAGTTAAATGGCCGGGTTACCTGAGTGGTGGGCGGAGCTACGCCAATGGTGGGCGGAGTTACCTGAGTAGTGGGCAGGGCTACAGGAATAGTGGGCAGGGCCACCTGATTAGTGGGCAGGGTTGGCATAGGAGTGGGGAGAATTGGCATTGGAGTGGGCAGGGCCAATGAGTAGTAGGTGGGGCCATTGTCACGTGTGGCTCAGTGGGTGTAGCTATGTAAAAGTGATTTGAAGCTTTCGTGACTGCAGGAATTACTCTTTGGTTCTTTCGGTAAAGTAACGTAGAAAGAAAATTAATTAAATAATAAATCACGACGTTTCGATTGCAACACAAGCAACCGTCATCAGGTAGAAGTAAATTTGAGAGAGAGACAAAACACAGACACGGAGACACACAGACAGACACACAAGCAGAGTGTCTATGTTTTATGTCTCTCTCTGGTTGTGTGTCTGTCTGTGTGTCTCCGTGTCTCCGTGTCTGTGTGTCTGTTTGTGGGGAGCGGTAGTGTAGCGGTTAGCGCGCTGCGCTATGAACCTGACGGCCCGGGTTCGATTCCCGCTCACGGCCAACACCAGTGACGATTATCTGTACTGGTCCCGGGCCTCCCCTAGGTCGACTCAGCCTCAAATGAGTACCTGGTGCGGTGTGTAAACATTGCCAGTAGGGAGACAAAGGCGGTCGGGCGTGGTGATGGCCACCCACCCCCTCGTGTACCGTTACCGGCCTTCATAGGTGCTCGCTAACAGCACTTGCCCCTACAGTCTGTTAAAGCTATACGGGGGATCTTTGTGTCTGTTTGTGTGTCTCTGTGTCTGTGTTTTGTCTCTCTCTCAAATTTAGTTCTACCTGATGACGATTGCTTGTGTTGCAATCAAAACGTTGTATTTTCTTTCCGCGTAACTTTACCGAAAGAACCAAAGAGCTTATAAAAGTGGGTGGAGATGACAAAGGGGAGAGCTACCAATTTATTATTTTTATTCTATTTTACCAGGTAAGGCCCACTGAGCAAGACAGCTCTTTTTCAGCAGCGACTTATGCAACGATGGATGTATCCTTTTTTTACCATGGTGTCATATTTGTGAAGGTGCAGACAGGTTATTGGGAATACCATGAGTGGATATCTAGCATTTTGCATCAAGTACACTTTGGAATTCCCTCCCGTCGTCTCTCTTTTCGGAATTTCTTCTTATTGCGTATGGCATGGGGGGGGGGGGGGAGCGAAAGTTTGTGTAGATGCTGTCATAGTTGAATGTTAAGGTCCTTCAAGCAATCCAAGGTGGCAGTAGACGCTGTACGGATTGCAGCGATACTGCAAGGGTGTGTGGCGTGGATGTCGCAATTTCTTATAACCCTGCTCAATAATAATAATAATAAAACGCGTTACATTCTTTATCTTTTACCATTTTTATCGTGCTCTTTGTTGCTGCCGTTGAATGTTTTTAGGCTTTGTGTGTTCAGCAATGTGTGTATAACGTAAAACTATATATATAATTAACACCGTCTCCGACTCGGCGAGTCAAACTGTGGGTCGCCGGGTTCATGGCGCAGTGCACTACCCACAATGCCAACAACTCCTTCCGAATCCCTAAATCGCAGGATTACGTTTACAGATGAAGAATTGACCAAATCCCCCATTTCACAGGGTCCCGTTTCCCGTCAGCATTTACCTGGACGTGGTAAAGACTCCGTACAGAATGGGGGATTTCTCATCCTTCGTTTGAAGCAGAAAGACGTCTTCTGCAACAACAACAACACGAAACCGATGAGCAAAAGAAACGGAACAAAGCGTTACAAAAAGAAAAACCTCGCGTCGTTGCTCTCCCCGTTTAGCCGGCGCAGAGCCCGTGACGTCGACGGTCTCGATAGTCGTCAAGTTGTGAGTTTGACAAACGGTCGGTCGTCGACTCGGCCCTTCACACCGTTAGGGATCAGCAGCTATGGAAATATCGTGGCATAGGAACGGGGAATTTCCACCACCGTCTCATTGCCGTAGACGTGAGACGAGCGCGGTCCCACGCGAAACCGAATTTCGGCTTCACTTTTTTTTTTGGGGGGAACGAGAAACGATGCCGTTGACATTCGAGGCCCGTAATGGCAAACGCCCGACTTTGATTATCGCACACGGGGATTACAAATAGGAACGTCGCAGGGCACGCGAGGGCAGCGTTCACCCTGGGTGGTGACAATCCTCTTTGGGGGGCGTGCGTGCTGAACAAATTTAGTTTTTGGGGGGGGCGGTGGGGTGGTGAGGGCTCAAGTAAATGTTTAAATAATTGTCTGTGTCCGCCGTGAACCGGTGATGTTAGCAGCGAGAGTAAAAATGTGTCAAGAGAGAGAGAAAAACACACAACGGAAATGTTTCGCTCTAAAATAAACGTAAAGAGATCATCTGAATAATACAGAGTCGGGAGCAGTGAAACAAGGATGAACTTGTGAAAGCAAAACAAAAAATGGCATTAGATTTCAGACAACATTTTAAATGGTTAATGACAAGAAGTAAGCGGGATCGAGCGCGGGTCAGAACGCTGAGCAGCCACCCGCGATTAAATCGTGTTCTCAAGTGCACTGCGTTCATGGTCTTAACAAAAAAAATCGAGAAGGTTCCTCCCATTCGATGTGTTCCCCTCTGGCTCCCACTCCCTTCTCTAACGTCTCGGCCCATTTCACGCACGGGCACCTTGAGACCTCTCCGTTTCCTGAAAGGTGCCGAATAATGTGCCGATTATTTAATTATTGTTACATGATGTGAGAGGGAGCGCAAGGTTGCCAGTAGTAGCGGGAGCTGTAAGCGACACAAATACACAGACAAAGATCCCCCTTATAACCTCAACAGACCGTTGGGGCAAGTGCTGCAAAACGATAGGCGCGCACGCGCTCACTGCTGGACTCACGCAGCTCGTCGAAGTGCGTGTCGATGCCATTCAGCCCCGGCACGGAGCACACGATCCGGGCCTTGAGGAACGTGGTCCACTTGTTGACGAGGCTTCGCTGCCCACCCACGTCGTTCTGCACGGAAGGGTAGAAGCACTTTGTTAAGGCACGGGAGCGTCGGCACCGTGTTAACACGTGGCACGGGAGCGTCGGCACCGTGTTAACACGTGGCACGGGAGCGTAGGCACCGTGCTAACACGTGGCACGGGAGCGTAGGCACCGTGTTAACACGTGGCACGGGAGCGTCGGCACCGTGTTAACACGTGGCACGGGAGCGTAGGCTACAAAGTTATTTTTGCACAGACGTCCAGCAGAGCACGGGGCGGAGGGGGCGGGGGGGTCAGTGACAAACGCTCGCGAGAGCCCTCGAGTGACGGGCACGGGGGCTTCACCTTGCACACGCGAGCCACACGCGTGTAGATCGCCTTGTCCTTGCCCCCCGTCTCCACGGCGACCTCGCGGAAGAAGAAGTACACCTTGTCGTCGTCGGGGCTGCTGGTCTCGGGGATGGCGAACGCTCCCACGAACTTGGGTTCTAACCGGCGCGGAACATCCCGAGCCACGGCTTGAGAGAGCGACTGCACAAGGCGCGGCAAGCCCTGCGGTCGACGCGCCCGCATCCTGCACGTATGGTGGACTTTTCCTTCGCGCCGTGCGTAGCCAACCGCGGCATTCCGGTGAGCCTCTCTACGAGGGTGTTTTTGGCCTACTCTTCCACGCTGGCCGGACGTCGCACGACCCGCCGATCGGCCGATCGTTGGTGTCCCGATGTACACTGGTGGTTCGGGCACAGGCGTTGTTTTAGCTGCCGCGCCTGGAGATCGAACAGGCGACCTCGCGGTTGCAAGTACAGCAGTGCTGACCCCAGGGGGTCGGCAACCAAAACAACAACAACAACAACAACAAGAGCTATTTTTGTTTTACAATTCGGTAAAACAAAAACCCTCAATATTTCAGGAGCCACAATGTTTTTTTTTTCCACACGTGAACGCGAGACGGTGGCCCTTAATAAAATAACGTCACGAGGCAGTCATTAAAGAGTCGCAGGTTGCCGGCCCCCTGTCCTGACCCATACACAGAGGCAGCAGCCAAATGATCGGCACTTAAGAGACACAATTGTCTCACGTCAGGCTTGGATGCAGATTGTCATTCTGGTGAGGGGGGGCGGGATGGGAAGGAGGCGAGGGGGGTGAACCTCCTCCATTCCGCCCCCAGAAACCCTGAAAATTGGTATTTTATGGATATTCACCGTAGCAAATATGACGATCATTTTGTTGTTGTTGTTGTTTTTGTAAATCTCGGGCCCTGTTTAGAAATTTGAAATGTCGGCACCACCCCACAGGAAGGGATATTTCAATCCATCACTGGCATATACATCCGCACCTGCGATGAGCACGGTTGGTTTACATACGGCGCAAAAGAAGTCCAACATACGTACGTACATGCATGCATAGCCCTTTCTCAATCCACTGCTAGATGAGAGCCTCCCCAACCTGTACGGATCGTGGGAGTCTTTTGACCATCATCACGATTGTTGTAGACGTATTATTATTATTATTGATCTACACCATGTTCCACACAGTTTGAAATCTTCATTTGAAGCTTTCGTGACTGCAGGAATCCATACTCTTTGGTTCTTTCGGTAAAGTCACGTGGTAGGTATACTTTACCGAAGGAACCAAAGAGTACAGTTTGAAATGCCCAGCGTGGCGACAAATAACCGGGCGAGTGGGCCAAGCACTGACTGGAGGGTCACAGCTCTTGCATCCGGAGAAATGACGGCTTACCCACCACACAGGCCCTCCTTGACAATGATGCACTCCTCACAACAATGACAATCGCTGCGAAAACAAAGTTGACCTCAGCGAGGCTCGCACGAAGGTCAACCATCGGGTCATGTTTTTTGTTGCAAACATCCCCTGGGAAATAGTTTTACATTTTTTTTAGCCCGGGGTTGCATCATCTAACCCAAACATACATTAAAAATAATACAACAACTAAACCCCCTTCCCTGTCTATGATTGCAGGGGGAAAGTGTCAGCAGTAGGGGGTGGGGGTAGGGAGGGATGGGGGGGTGGGGGGATCGGGAGGGGGGGGGTGACGGAGAGGACATAGCGGAGCAGCCAAACCCATGGAGCCGTGCGGCTCTCAAAGCGTGGCTTTAAAAAATAATCTAACCGTGCCGGTCCATACCAAGAACGAGCCCGGCACGGCTTGGGTCTGAGTTCAAATGGCCATGAGAACGCCGCGCAAAAGTCTCCATCGTGACAGGCAACACCAGAGGAGCGGTTCTCGATCGCACGGAGCAGGGATAGGGGACGGGGGTTGAGTGTTTCCTCTCGCGCTCCTGACCGTTGAGCCAAAGTTTCTCATGCTGCTCCGTGCGGATGGCCGAGCGGGCCGGCCACTGGCTGAGAAATCTGGCAAAGGCGACGTCCTTCCCCATGAAGTCCCACGCGGCCGCAGAAAAGAGCTTCTCGCCTGCGGAGAAGCACGCACGCACGCACGCACGGATCTCGTGGTCTGCCGTGTTGGGTTGTAAAGGCCGCACGCATGGGGGCATTAAACGCTGAGTCAATGGGCATGCTGGCACAGGGGATTCATATTACAGCAGGGGTCTCATCCACTTAACAGTTTGTAAAGGCTACATGGGGAGCTTTGTACGTGCACTTATACATACAGATGGTTGACGGGAGCAGGCAGTTCGGATATTACTCTCTGCCGATGTTAGCCGAGGACTGGGTGGGTGGTTGACCACACTTCGCCATGTTGGTCAGTACAGATTGGTGAAGGCGAGGTCAAAATCTGGTTCCGATATCCCTCACCAGGCTCGGGAATCGAACTCAGGTCGGCGGCTTCACATCGCAGTGCGATAACCGCTGTGCCGCTACCCCAACGCACGAGTGAACGGCTCAAATCGCGCGCATTTGTGAGCGGTCCCCACCGGCCATGATGGACGCTGAGGGCTGGAGGGGGTCAAAGGGACACTTCCCCAGGCCAGGCTCCAGGCTGTGCGGCTCCAGTCGGAATACGGGATCCTGGGAGGAGGGGGGGGGGGAGGAGGGGTTTGTGTTGGGAGGTCGATGGGTGGCTCAGGCAGATGCTACTGTTCAGTATGGCACGGTGTGCTCATTGTCATCATCAACATGATCGTTATCTTCAGATTAATCATTTTCGTTGTCATTTGTCGTTGTCGTCATCATTATCATCATCATCATCAAATCCATTAGCAACATCATTATCTTTCGATTTAAAGCTTTCGTGACTGCAGGGATTCATCTTCTTGGTTCTTTCTATTTTATTTCCATTCTACGTGACTTTACCGAAAGAACCAAGAACATCATTATCACCATCACTCCCGGTTGCATTAACATCATCATCACTACCATTCGTGTCATCATCATCATCAACATCACTCCCACAAGTCTCATCATTATCATGATCACTGTCACGAGTGTCATCTTTATCATCATCATCACTGCCACTAGTCTCATCATTGTCATGATCACTGTCACAAGTGTGATGTTTATCATTATCACTCCCACGAGTGTCATCATTATCATCATCATTACCACCATTATCATTGTATTCGACATCATCATCGTCTTCATCATATTTATCAACAATCGTTAAACATTCCCAATGCACAGCCCCTCGGAGCACGTTTGGAGATGTCCGCGCCGTGAGCCGGTGATGTGAGCTGTGAGAGTAAAAATGTGTCAAAATAACAAAAAACACAACGGAAATGTTTAGCTCTAAAATAAACGTCAAGAGAACATCTGAATAATAAATAATCCGGAGCAGTGAAAAAACAAGGATGAAATGGTGAAAACAAAACAAAAAATGGCATTAGATTTCAGGCAACATTTTAAATAGTTGATGACAAGAAGTGACCGGGGTCGAGCAGGGGTCAGAATGCTGAGCCGTTACCTCTGAGAAATCTGGGCAGCCACCCGCGATTAAATCGTGTTCTCAAGTGGACTGCGTTCATCGTCTCAACCTGTCAACTATTTAATTGCTCCAAACTAATATAATTACATTTCTATTTGTTTCACCGATTGCTCGGCTCAGGAGAGGAGTGGCCCGCGTGTGGATACTCTCCCCTCTATGTCTCTTTTCAGGCTGCACCGCGTTTCATTTGGCACGATGTCCGACGTTCTGCTCCACATCCTGGGAGCTTTTACATGATTAGACCTCCTTTGTCAGTACCAAAATATAATAAGAGGGTTTTTCACCTTTTTTCTGGCAACAAAACTGAAACCTTTTAAACAAGGATTCATGTCTGCATTAACCACAATACTTGCAGTCAAAATGCAAACAAAAAAAACATACTATGATAATATATGCATTGCGCTTTAAACTGATTGGTCCACACCAAGGGACGGCTTTCTTTTGAGCCTGGTACTGGCAAAAGAGGTCTAATGATGTAGAAACCCTATTATTATATTTTGGTACTGGCAAAGGAGGTCTAATGATGTAGATGCTCACCCTGAGCCCTCATTGCTTTGATAGTGCATTATCTTTGAGCTGTACGCCTTTTGGCGTCCTCTGATCTAGCACCAATTGAGACGAGGCTCAAAAGAAAGCCGTCTCTGGTTGTGGACCAATCAGTATCAAGGACAATGCATATATTATCAGAGTGTGTTTTTTGTTTGCATTTTGACTAAAAGTATTGTGGTTAATGCAGACATGAATCCTTGTAAAAAGGTTTCAGTTTTGTTGCCAGAAAAAAAGGGGAAAACCCTATTATCCTGGGAGCTTCTTCAGCAATCTAATAATTCGTGTTGTTTTTCTACCACCCCAGGCACGTGGGGACGAAACGTCGAACAATAGCACGGTACAATCCTAAGACAGAGCGTGGAGCTGTGAATATATACATATGTTGAACTGCTTTCGCTCCGCTCTTAGCCAACCGTGTTAACCGGCGTGTGCGGGGTAGGACAACAAAACAAACACACGCAAAGCGGTCCTAAAGAATTGAGTTTTCATTTTCAAAATAAAAGTCCCCTCTCCGCGTTGCGCTGCCCGATTTCTGTACCTCCACCTTCTGCCCGAGGTTAACGTAGGCGCAGATGGGATTGTAGGCCCCGGTGCCACACATGTACAGGTGCGTGCGGTTGTACGGCTGCAGGACTCGTACGAAGTTTGCGCACTCCGTCTGAAATGAGAGCAATTTTACACGCGCGATGTTGCGTGCGTTACCCGTATGTGAGCGGCAAAGCGGGTAGGAGCGTGATGGATCGCTATCCTAAATGCGCCCTATCTTGTCGGCTGTCAGAATTCTAAGCAAAGTTGAGCCAAGTTGTCGCTTGGGTTGGGTGACCACCGCCCCGGTTTTTGCAGGGTTTGGTAAGCCACGAGGTGTGGTCACAATATGTTGGGAGCCGAATGCCACCCACCCCCCCCCTCGTAAGTTTGTGAATTCTCTGTGGCTAATCCGGCTTCCTACCACATGCCCAACACGTGTGAATGGAATTTGGCCAAAGATCCGAATTCAGCACGCGCCTGCACAAAAAACAACAGTTCTGAGACTCTGGATGGATTTTCTGGGAAAATAATTGGCATTAAATTTAATTACTTGGATATACTAGGTTATTTCTGTAGAACAAACATAAAACAAAAACATTTAATATTTGTAAGATTGTACATCGGCATGTATATTTATTTGATTCATTAGCTAATAAAATAACAGCATGTTCACTCGAATAAAAACAACTCAAACCTTTGCACAGCTTATCGGACTTTAATCTCCCAATGTTACCCCGGTAATTTATTTGCAGGAGGTTGAAATTCCTTCTGAGCTTTCATTTTAGATTTTAAGTTTTCCCGGTGAAGCAACTCACCAAGGGGTTCTTGCCAGCGTGGCGACACATCTCAGACTTGTCTCTTGAAGGTGGCCAATAAATCTGTAAGCAAAGAAACACATTTTATTTTGCACGCCATCTTCCTGCAACGTGAAGCAAGGCGATCTAAAGTTTATCATCGATTTTTGGCACTGCGCAATTATCCGGCTGCTTCCAACGTTACCCGGTGGTCTTGAGCAGATCCGGCAAAAACCGCTCCAAAGGCTGAAACCAGTCCGGCGATCGGCACAACGTGCGTGACAAAAAAACACGTAGCTATGCTTGATTTAGTAGTGTATACGCTACATTATACACTGCATACAACTTAAACAATGAAAATACTGCAAGCATATGCATCACCCTATGCATAGTCTTCGAGATTGGAGTGGTAAGTACGGTAAACACAGTAACTTTTTTTTTTAAAGTAGGATTTGAAATTTTGCCTATTTGTATGCTTATTTCTGCCAATTTCATATCGTAAACAAATTGAAAACGCTAAACTAAATATATCGCATATTCTTGGTTCTTTCGGTAAAGTCACGTAGAAGGGAAATAATAAAATAAACCAATAAAATTTTCATAATTTTATTTTTATTATTTCCCTTCTACGTGACTTTACCGAAAGAACCAAGAATATGAATCCCTGCAGTCACGAAAGCTTCAAATCGAAATTTAAATATATTACACCTAAAAACACAATGTCATGCAAGAATGTGAAAAAATAAGCAATTTTAAATAATGATGATGAGTGATAATCGATGACCTACTGTTGATAATAGATGATCTACTCTATGTTGATAATCGATGATCGACTGTATGTTGAAAATCGATGATATACTGCAGTGACCATTGTGTTTACACGGAGCGGGTGTACATTTGCCAATGTGAATTTGTTCATCATTATTAAACTGGTCCACAGAAACCTGTTGAATGTTGAAGTCGGGCCTACGACTGCGATATTTCACTTCGTCGTAAAAAAAAATACAAATTGCTGACTAAATTAACAGGGTCCGGTGTTGATATGACCCGAATGTTTCATGAACGATCGCCAGCGTTCGTTTAGCCAGCATCTAATTTTGTAAGAATGTAGTAATCAAAAGGGGGGAGGGGTGGGGTTGGCAATAATGCAGAGCAATTTTCAAAGGCGCACGCAATAGCACAGGTTTAAGCTTAAACAAATCAACTTCAGTGCTACGTACATCAAACTCAAAATTCTATTTGGAATGCACGCAGTTTCATGGTTTTGCGATTGTATCATGGCCTGCAGTGAACGCGTGATACAATGAAAAACGGGACGCTCAATTATGTACGTATTGACTTTGCAAACAAAAATAACTGAGCTCATTTTTACGGAGGGGCTGTGCCACGTCAAATTGTGCAAACAAAGAAGAATTTCTGGGGCGATTTCATAAAAAACAAACCAAGAACTCCCACCCCCCCCTCTCTCTCTCTCGCAAAAAAAAACACAAAGATCCCCCGTACAGCCTTCACAGACTGTTGGGGCAAGCGCTGTTCGCGAATAGCACCAATGAAGGCAGGCACTGTGACACACGAGTGGTTAGGTGGCCAACACCACGCCCCGGCCGCCTTTGTCCCCCCAGTGGCGACATTTACACACCGCACTTATTTGAGGCTGAGCCGAACTAGGGGAACGCCCAGGACCGGTTCAGATAATCGTCACCGGTGTTAGTGGCCGTGAGCGGGAATCGAACTCGGGGCGCCGGGTTCGTAGCGCAGCGTAGCGTTAGCCGCGCTAGCCTCTAGCACACACGAGACACGCGCACACGAGACACGCACACACGAGACACGGCACGAGACACGCACACACGAGACATGCACACACGAGACACGCACACACGAGACACACGCACACACGGCACGCACACATGAGACACGCGCACACGGCACGCGCACACGAGACACGCACACACGAGACATGCACACACGGCACACGCACACACGAGACACACACACGAGACACGCGCACGAGACACGCACACACGAGACACGCGCACACGAGACACACACACAAGACACGCGCACACGAGACACGCGCACACGAGACACGCACACACGAGACACGCGCACACGAGACACGCGCACACGAGACACACACACAAGACACGCGCACACGAGACACGCACACACGAGACACGCACACACGAGACACGCGCACACGAGACACACACACAAGACACGCGCACACGAGACACGCACACACGAGACACACACACACGAGACACGCACACACGAGACGCACGCACACACGAGACACACACACACGAGACACACGCACTTTTAGCGGTTATAAAAAAAATATCTTGCTGGGCGCTGCCAAGTTTGCACACCGGGATATAGTTTCACACCGGGATATTTCAAACCGGAATGTTTCACACCGGAATATTTCACACCGGGATATTTCACACCGGAATATTTCACACCGAGATATTTCACACCGGAATGTTTTACACCGGAATATTTCACACCGGGATATTTCACACCGGGATATTTCACACCGGAATATTTCACACCGGAATATTTCACACCGGAATATTTCACACCGGGATATTTCACACGGGAATATTTTACACCGGGATATTTCACACCGGAATATTTCACACCGGGATATTTCACACCGGGATATTTCACACCGGGATATTTCACACCGGAATATTTCACACCGGAATATTTCACACCGGGATATTTCACACCGGGATATTTCACACCGGGATATTTCACACGGGAATATTTCACACCGCTGGAGAGAGAAGTTAGCTTCGTGATGTCGGGGAGGGGGGGGGGGGCTGACCGACGGTGAAATTTGACGGCGTAAAGATGGCCCACTACAAAGTTCACCGGGGTCTCGTAATCGCAGCCACGGCGAGGCCTGCGCTTTAACAATTAGCCGCGACGATTTGCTCCCAGGCTCGATTTCTCGTTATAGTTCGTGGGAGGAGAAACACACACACACAAAAAAACCCAAACATGTTTTGGTAATGTGGCGTCCGAAGCCATTAGTGCATACCAGTAGTGTCCGTACGTACGTGTGTGTGTGTGTTAGAGTGTTTAAGACTCGTGCGAATGCGTGTGTGAAGTGAATGTTCTCAAATAAACACACGTGCGCACGCATCTACGTGAGCGCGCGTCCGATTCGATTCCGTGTGCCCGGTTAAGCCGTTTGTGTGTGTGTGTGTCCAGAGCAAGGGTCATTGTTGTGGTTGTCTTAATGAGGCCGTGCTTCCTTGATTGGGCTGTGTAGACGGGGCCGCATTGACGCAGGGTCTTCACGGGCTGCGGATCGGAGGCTACGTTCGGCTTTGTAACTATCGAAGCGCAAGTCTGCGTCGCGACAACACGTCCTGAGAGTGTCACTTGTGGCAATTAAAAAGCCGTGAAGTCGCGACTCGAGCTACTACCTTCAGTCGCGTGCCGAGATTACAACAGTCGCGCCCGCTTTAATCGTTCGATCGGGGATTGTGCAGTTTCCCGTGACGCATTTGCACGGATCAGAACTCCTGACGCACAGCACGAGATTAACAGCGACGCAAGCGTTTGGCTTCGGGCACCGGTGGCGGTGGTGGTGGTAAAAGACGTTTTTAAGTGAAGGAAATTAAAATCCCCCAATTACAAAAGAGGGAGCCAAACCCCTCCCCCCGCTCCTCCCAATCCCATAACAGCCCTGGGCACCCCCCATTATCGAACTGAACCGGGCCCTGTTGTCTAGACTCGAGACGCCGCTCGCCTACCAGCCCACGGCGCGCAATGACTCCGCCTGCACGTGTGGAGGTGTGGAGGTTTACTCCGGGATCTCTGGTTCCCCTCCCCACCCCCCACGTGCAAATTTACCGCAGACGACCAAAAAACATCCCCAAGCAAGAGCAGCCCGGGCCTACCCCCCCCCCCCCTCCCACGAGTCTTGAGTGTTCGTCGTCCGAGGCTTTTTCCTCTGGGCAAACAAACTAATCACATCAACTCATTCTCGTTACGTCGTGAGAACATTCGAATAGCCACTGTGGCACAGAGGTGTACACATCCACCCCCCACCACCACCACCACCACCTCACTCTTGTAACGCGCCGCGGAAGGTATCCGCAGACCGCGCAGAACTTGCAGGGCATGCTCTTCCCACACGCTCGGTTAACATGGGAAGTGTCGGATGGATCCCGCGCCAATGTGTACCAACCTCGCACCCCCCCCCCCCCCTCCTCTGCCGCGATGCGCGTTGTGACGGGCCTAGTGAGTTGTTTCATTTCAAATTAAAAACTTAAAATGCTGCCACTGTGGCAATCGCAATGGCCCAGCTGGGATGGGCACGTTGGTCAGATTGTTCTTCTCGTAATCACCTCGGCCCATCATCAATGCCCATCATCATCGCCCGGGGTGATGATGGGCATTGGGATCTTAGGATGGAATGCGAATTATAAATTTGAATGATTATATTATGAAATTGGTGCCACTTTGCGTATTTCAAATGTGGGGACTGTCTCCCCATCATACGAATGTGTATTGGACTGCCCCTTATCAATTTACTCCTGGATTCAGTTTGACCCGCGACTCTTGGCCCGAGGGGTTTGTTTGCCCATACTTTACCGCGCCAGTCGGTGATTGGTTAATGAAAGGTAGATCGATTGCTGGTTCACACATGGCTCATCGATGAATGTTAGCCGTGGCCAGGAATCACAACTAACCACTGTGCCGCCCCCTCCCCGCCACCACCCCCGTCACAGGAATGTGGAATTCCCTCCGCTGTCTGAGGGTTACGGGCAGAGGCACCACAGTTTCATTGCAAACCGCCACGATCATAAAGACAGTGAGCTGCCATCACCGCCACTCAGTCAAAGCCACATTAAGTTTCATGGGGGCCCAGGGCTGTTATAGTTTAGGGGGCCCCAATTTTGTTGATCGATTCCTGTCCCTTGACTGTTTCACCACCACCAATAGCCCGATGCCAAACACTCCGTTGTTGTTCACCCCTTGGTTATTTCACACGAGCACGGTTGGCTGCATACGGTGTGAAAGAAGTTCAAACACACGTACATGAAGTGCGATATGCGAGTTAAATTCCAGTTAAAAGGAATTTAACCGGTCGTGACAGACGTAGTCATGCTATGGCTTCAATTATCAAGTTACACTATAGGATGTGCCACAGCTGCTCATTATAATCATCATGATCCATGGGCAGATAGCCCCGTAGATGTCCACTGCATATATCATTTGTTTCCAATTTGCTATAGGTCTTATGTCAACATGCTCAAACAGTGGCCACATCTTTCTGGCACCAATCTCTTCTGTCGTCGTGGTCACGCCATTCTCTGTTTCGTCTTTCTGGTTCCTTAACATTTTTCCGAACAACACATATGTAATTTTCGTGTTGTTGTCCATCCTCGACATATGTGTCCAAACAGTGCCTCATCACTGCAACATTTGGCCAAGCCATTATAAAGCAGTATATGATAAAATATTTAAATTGAGGGAGACCTTGAAGCCACGACCTTACTGGACATCTGTCAAAAAGAGCTTCAGAGCCCCATCGGATTCCTCCTCTGGCAGTCTAGATAAAGATTCTGATTCTGAGCCGTGCACGCAACGGTGGCATTTCAACAATCATCATCGTCGTCATCGTCGCCGCCGTCGCCGCCGTCATCATCATCATCATCATCGTCCGTCCGGGGTGGTTGGCACCTTCTTAGGCGCGCGGTTGAGGTTGTCCAGCTGGAGCATGTAGAGGTGGTCGCGCGCGCCCACAAAGAGTCGCCCCCGATCCTCGTCCACAACCATCTCCAGGAACTCGGAGCTTTCCATCGCCAGGGCCAGCACCAGCGAGCTGTTGGTCGCCTGTAGCTCTGCGTCGTTGGCGTGGTGGGGGAGGGGGGCGATGGAGTGGGGGAGGAGGGCGAGGGGGAGAGATTGGGCCATAAATAACGTCCAGCATTGATGGCACATAAATATCAAAGAGAAGCGTGGAGAAATAAAGATCACCACCACACCTATCCCAACCGCTTTCCACCCTCCCCCAGGTCCCGCAGACATGCGACCTTCAAGGTCTACCGTGACAGCCTCCCACCATCTGGCCCCACTTCCTGCATGCGTGTCCTGCCCAACAAATGCATCTTCTTCTTTTTGTCGCTCTCAAAATAATGCCGATTTACAAGCGTGGACAGATGCGTGCTTTGATTTACATTCCCGAAACAGAAATAAGTGTTTGTAACCTTGGTCCAAAAATAAAAGAAGTGTGTCACTCTGCGTCCGTGTGCCGCCACCGACCGGTTGATTAATTAATCGTAACGATTAGCAACGCCTGTTTGGGCCCACGGAGCGTAACGCAGGAGATGGAGCAATGGAGCAATGGCATGGGCTCACTCGCGGTATGCCTGGTGGATCGCTACATTGCAAAACTGAAGGGGGCATGGATGGTCGGCTTGGGGAATCATTTGTCCAGCAGTGGATTGACTGATGCTGATGATGATGGGGGACATCCTGGGTTTGAATATGGGCAACCAACCGTGATGATACTGGTATCTCAATTTGTCGAGGGGTGATGGTCTTCAGCCCAGTCGTCTTTGACTATGAGTAGTTATAACATTGGCAGAAAGGGTAAAACTTTTTCTTAATTTTGATACCGGCAAAAAGAATGTCCCGTGATATAAACGCATTACTTTACGGGTTTTTTTTTTACTTGAGCAAACTCAAGCTCTGCGGGCTATTTTCTCTCTCCATTTCATTGCCATATGGGGAGATGCGACTCCCAGTATGGATAATGGATAATTGAAGGGACTTTATAATTGGTGTGTGTCATGTCAACATAAAAAAGCAATTATCTTACATGGGATGGGTGCGGTGTTTTCCGTGGCATTTCTGAATGGAAATGTCTTGTTGCATGAATGTTTCATGATATGCCACGGGTGGTACAACTGGAATATAATTTTTGATGCAAGACACACAAATAAAATCACTCTGATCAGTGTCAAGAGATTCACATGATCGTTAATTCCGGGTGAAATTCCAAGATATTTCCTTGAACCACTCTTTTAAACATTCTCAGTCCTTCTTAAAATGTACGTTCGCTCGCTTTTAAGTGGAAGCCATTGCGGGGTTTGTTTCCTATAAAAGAGGGAACTAAAACAAAAATGCTGTCTGACATACCAGCCGTGACTGACGGGACATGATCAAGAATAGGAAGAGCGATTAATCCAAGGATAAAAACAACAAAGATAGGAACGAAATAAGACGGAGGGTTGATCTACGCCCGACCGCTGCCTTCGAATCTGCCCTCAGAACGTGAGGGCCCTGAGATTAACGGTGAGGGGAAGCACGCGGCCTTGCAGACGTTGATAAAGAACAGATCTCCGTGGGTGTGTGCGGGGTTGCCATGTGCAATGCTGCTCTCTTGAGATCAAAGGACGAGGAGGGAGGAGGAGGAGGAGGAGGAAGAGGAGGGAAAGACGGGGAAGGAAACCTCTACATCAAGGGGGTTCGTCCCCTGCAGGAGCCTGGGAGTCGCAGACGTGTCGAGCGGAGAATAGGAGACGGAGAATGGGAGACGGAGAATGGGAGACAGAGAATGGGAGACAGAGAATAGGAAATGGAGAATGGGAGAAAAATAATATGAAACAGAGCATAGGAGACAGAGAATAGGAAACAGAATGGGAGACAGAGAATACGAAATGAAGAATGGGAAACAGAGAATAGGAGACAGAGAATAGGAGACAGAAAATAGGAAACGGAGAATGGGAGACATAGAATAGGAAATAGAGAATAGGAGACAGAATAACATTAATTATAAAGGGGCCCTAAATAAATAAAACATAAATATTTAAACACACGAAATTTCTACTTGCACAGTAAAGTAATTGTATTTTTTTATTTGCTATACAGCCAGATAATACAGCAAATCGCTAACCTCGAACACCCAGTCGTTCGTAAATGTTAAAGGTGCTATAGTAATAGAGCAAGTGCAGAATCACTGAACCGGAATTGATAGCTTGAAAGCGTTTAGCGCGGGGCCCTTGAAAGTGCGGGGCCCGTAGCTACTACTACTACATGTGTAGCTACTACTACTACATGTGTAGCTACTACTACTACATGTGTAGCTACTACTACTACATGTGTAGTTACTTTTGCTCCTGCGATAATCCGGCAATGCCCAACCACCCCACCGCCTCCTTCGCCGTGCCAGCGAGAAGAAGCCTGCGGCTGTGCGAACGGACGATGAAATTAATCACGCGGCTAGGGTGAGCTCTAAAGAGCCCCCTCCCCCCCAGTTGAAGGTATTTTTTTGGCCTACTCTTCCACCCTGGCCGGACGTCTTGTAAGAAGTGGGAATACTCGTGGGAGTACCCAAACTTGACCCCACCACACGCGACCTGCCGGATCGACTGCGGTGCACCAATTTGTTATCCTGCTGGGTGGACTGAGGCACGGGGATTTAAACTAAAGCTAAACATTGTTTAATTTAATTTTAACAGGTAAGGCCCACTGAGCTACAGAGCTTTTTTTTTGCAGAAGCGATCTGGTCACAAATGATAGCTCAATAAAGTGGCCTATCACGTGGAAATTCATAGCAGTCAAATACTCTAAAACGCGCCTTTCTAAACGCGGAGGGAAAAACCGGAGGACCCGCTGAAAAATCCACGCGACCACGGGGAGAAACACGCAAACTCCAAATATACAGCAGGCGTCAGGCTCGGGATGGAACCCCCGATCTCCTATATACCAGGCGAGGTATTTAACATCTCGTCACAATGGCGCCATGATTGAGGAAAGCTGCATCAACGTTTCAACTGCCACACCAGGAGATCATAGCGGTGGCGGCGGCGGCGAGGGTAATCCATTTATTTGACAAAATAAAATCCCAAGAACCCCATGGACCTTATTCTTGGTTCTTTCGGTAAAGTCACGACGAAGAAGGGAAACAATAAAATAATAAAAATATAAAACAATAACATTATCACGACGTTTCGACTGCAACACAAGCAATCATCATCAGGCGTGTAAACCACAGCAAGAAAATTTGAAAATAGTGGCGTTTTTTTAACGTTAGCACCACGGAGAGCGATTTGACAGTTTGTTCAGATGGACGAGTCCATCTATGTTCGAAAAAGAGGAGGGGGGACCTTCAACGAAATATTGTTTGAGGAGGGGGAAAACCCTAGACCGGTTTAGACCTCATTGTTTTTTTCGGTAAAGTCACGTATGTAGAAATACCACAAAATTATATTAAAACAAATCAATCACGACGTTTCGACCGCAACACAAGCGATCTTCATCAGGTGTCAAAAACAAATTGCGAGGGAGCATATAGGGTGACATCAACGCAACACATAGAGAGCGTTAAACTGCACGGAGGTAAATACAACAAGAAGATGAGAGACGAGAATTCAACAAACCTAAGAAAAAATTACGTGATGCCAAACCAGTTGGCCAACGACACAGCTAGACACTTGCCTGGCGGACCAGGAATTTCAGAACAGTGCTAAATTTCGTGTTCATCCTCTGGGTTGAACATACCAGCATAGACAGAGTGAACAAATACGAGGTACAAGATAACAGAAATACATATACAGGGACACCAAGAGGTAAGAAGAGGAAAGACGGACAGAGAAGCAAGAAAAAGGGGGCCTGAGGGATGAACAGACAGAGGCTTAAAATAAGCAGTAGAGGTGGGGGGAGGGGACGGTTTAGACCTCTTTGAGTGCCATCGGCAGGGTGTGTGAACCGCTTAGCAAATGCTGCCATGGGACCGTGATGTTCTAGGGAAGAGCCATCAGTGAGGGGGCCATTCAGAGCAATCCAGAAAAAAAATCCAGTACAAAATCTGTCTACACTGCCTTGCCAGACTGTGGGTTTATACATTATCCAATTAAACACACAAACAAAAAACAGGAACATGATTACGCAGACAAAATAAACAACTCGATCCTGCTTGTTTTGATTCTGTTCCGGACAATTGGCCAAGGCGGCCACGTCACCATGTTGCACTCTGTGATTGCTGTTGTTCTTGTCATTGATGTTGCAATGTGATATCTGAGCCCCCCCCCCCCCCTATGTCAGCTTGGTCTGAAATGAGATACGTGGTGCGTCGTGTAAGCGTCAGCGCCGGGGAGACAAAGGTGGGCGAGCGAGCGTGGTGTGCAGTTAGGTGCTCATGAACAGCACTTGCCCCCTATAACGGTGCTCTTTGTCTCTGTAATGAAGAGTGGCCCAGAAACTCCATTCACTCGATCCCTTGCCTCCTCAGGGAGGTAACACAAGCTTTTTAAATCGTTACCTTAATTTAATCAGAATTTTTCGTGGGGCTCTTTTTTTGCTTGCTGTTGAGTGTGACATTGAACGGCAAAAATCGCATTACGCAACTTTTTATTTCGTTATTTTTTTGAAGGTGGTAATTCTATTGAGGATGACGGTGATAATGATTCATAACAACAAGACCCTTTATTTACCCAGCAACGCATGGCCGAGTCTCAAGACGTGTCCTTAGGAGGATTCTACGTTGGGATTGTATATTATTTTTTTACAACTTCATTGCCGTGTTAGGATTCAGGTGACAGGAAGCAAAATTAGTGGAGAAAAATCCACCGGGTATGTTGAACTTCTTTCGCACCGTACGTAGCCAACAGTGCTAATCGGAGGGTGGCCACGCAAAACTCCACACAGATGCATTCAATAATGCGTTGTTATTCTGTCATCCCATTGGTCAGTTTACAGCATAAGCCTACAACAGCTGACGTTTGCAGGTAGTCCAATCAAAGTATTAACTCGGCTCAACCCTGGCTCGACAATATTGATCATCATAGATTCTCAAATAATTTCATCTTGTAAGCACATAGATGATGATTTCGTATTG